ACCAATGTTAACATATTACTAATGTTAATGTCAGTAATGATAATGACAATGCTAGCAATAGCAATAATAATTAATGATTACAATGGAAAATTCAAGGAATATCTTAAAGAGGTGAGGTCTGGTAGGCCTGATAATTAACTCCTTGGTGCTTCAGCATTTCTAAAGCTATGGTAAAACAAAACCACAGAGGATGTATTTGACATAAATAAATGAAGCAAATAGATCATACATATATACATTATCTTCTTTATGAGACAACATGAATGATACAAGCTCACTGAATCAAATAAAACTTTACATTATATATTATGATACTAAATATGATTTTCTAAATCATGACATATATCTAGAACTAACTAGTCAACACAAGTCCACCTACAAGGCCTTGTTGAAAAATTCCACTGGTTTATCCCATTCTAAAGACCAGTCAGCCAGCTCAAACAGGACGGTCCCCTGGAGCCAGGCTGAGTAACCCTGTACCTCTAGTTGTGTTCTGGCATCACAAATACCACTGTCCTGGAGAGTTTTTATCAATTACAAACAAGAAATAATATTTATGGTATATACAATAAATTGTTTCTGCAGTTTGCAAAGGATAAAGCACACTTGATATCTGAAAAGAAGATACATTCTACATACCTCCACAAGTTTCTCAAAGGCTACAACATACTTTGCAGCTTTTCTAAGTTTGTTACGCATAGAAAACTTTTTTCTATTGTCCTGAAGGCTTTCTTCTTTTAGTTGCATTGCATATGCCCAGCAACGCTCTATTGTCATAAGTGGAATGAAGAGAAACCTGTAAAAAAGCAGAAATATACCAATTATAAAAGGAAAAAGAAAAAAATGGAGAGTAAAAGTGCCATGGGCTTACCCCTATCATAGACACAAGCACAACTGTTTCTTAATCAAACCTTCAGAATAAATACCTCTCCTCCTTCAGCAAATTTACTGTTACTTCCTTCTTCCTAAAGTTCTTCCTGTCACCCTGTATGAGCTTAAGGTTCTTTCGCAGGCGTCGTATCCGCCTGCTACAATACTGGCGGTAAAGTTGATAATCATTGTGCCTAAGACCGTGAGCCAGCTGGGCCTCCTTAACAACCTTCAAAACTGAAATACAAAAGAAGCTTTTATAGTTTTCACTTTGATAACATATATCATCAAACACATACATACTGGTACATGTGAATGTGAGATTTTTGTTTTGCCTCCATGCAAGCATGGACCCCCCATGCTTAGATGGCAAACGCTGCTACATGAAATCCAAAGAGTTCAGTCAAATTGGAACTTGCAATGATTTTTAGAGTTCAAAAGGTACCAGATTTTTTTTAATCCTCTGCAAATGTGACAAATTTATCTTTTTTCATAAACACTTTCAGTAGTTTTATATATCTAATGTAAACCCATTTATCTCAGGCTTTTCTCTTTTGATCATTTTTTTTTAATGCATTGAACAACTTGTAACTCTACATCTAATGTAACAATCATATTTCTTATATAAACCCTAAATATGAACATATGAGGCTAAATGTATCTATGAAAAAAATAAATAAATAAATAAAAAATAAATAAATAAATAAAAAATAAAAAATAAATAAATAAAAAATAAAATACGTGCTAACTTGGCCCAATCTTCACAAGAGAGCATGGTTCGAGGGAATTTGTCTGTTGGAATTTAATTGCAAAGGAAAGTAAATCACAAAGATAGTTTTAACAACTGAGACAGTAAGTATGGGACTACCTTTTTAATTCCTATGATAAATTAAACTCAGATAAGAATAAATCATTTAAAAATAATTAGTGCTCTTCATTGGTCTATTACTACTTCTGTTTAATCATCGTTATAACTCCTCTATCATCAGGTATTTCTGTAACCTGTTTACTCTAGCACTTATAAGCAAAAGAGCTACTTTGTTTAGCTTTAATCGTTTGTAGACATGTGCATGCTCATTGTAGCCCTGACAATGAAACCCGAAATGAAGACGTTTACCACAGTCTTTGTCATTCTTTCCCTCTGTCTCTGATGTGTCTTGAACACACAGACATACATGTACACAAAGTAAATAAATAACTAATAAATAAATAAGTAATATATAGACTGTAATAATAATAATGATGATAATGACAATGATGGTGGTGGTAGTAGTAGTAGTAATAACTGTAATAGTAATGATAATAATGATAATGATAATGATGATAATGATAATAATGATAATGATAATAATAATAATGAATTGTAGTAATAACAATAACAGTAATCAGAATAAGAATAGCAATAATAATAATCATTCTAATTGTAATATTATTATTATTAATAATAATAATTGCAATAATCCCTACATAATGAAGATTACTCTATATTATTACCAATATCTTGAATGTGTAATGGTTAAACAAAATCTTGGTTTCTAATTGATAACAGTGAAGAGAGAAACCGTAAAGGCTTACAAAGAAGCTGTATTCATCTTTAAGGAAAATGGGGAGGAAGTGATAAGGAAAAGAA